CCTCCTGTTCTCCTGGCTGCCGGGGTCTCAGCTTGCTGCAGACGGGGTGCAGGATCGGGGGGTACCCGTCACACAAGCTTCCCTCCTCCCCCCGCTCAAATACCATCCATAATGCTGATGGCTCTGCAGGCCAAATCCCGCCCTCGGCAACACTCCTGTGACCCCCTGGGGCGTGCGCGGGTGCAAGTGAGCGGCAGGCGGGTCCCTCCGACCGAGCGTGCCTGCACTGCAGGGGGCGGTGCGAGGGCAGCCCGGCAGTTCCCTTGGGTGCTGTGAGCTCCAGAGCCGGCGGCAGCGAAGCCACGCGGGGATCCCACGGCACATGGCCAGGGAGAGCGTGACTGAACCGGGAGGCAGCCTCGTGACGGGCGATGCAGGAAGAGCTGCAGGACTCCGTCGTCCCCGTCCAGGTCGGCTCCCACTGGGCAGTCAGTGCGGGCAGGGAGCAGCCCTCGGCGGTGAAGGAACAGGGAAGGACCGTTTAGAGAAGCTGCACGTGCGTGCGGCCACGGGGCCGGCTCTCACGCATCAGCAGCATCCAGCCCAGTCCGCGGTCAGGGGACGGGCCGCGGGGCTGGGCCCAGCCCGATCCTCCCTCACTCCTACCGGGCAGGGTCCCGACTTAGCGTGCACGGTGTAGGTGAGAGAGTAGGCAGCCAGGACCCGCCCCCGCCAGGCACCCTCCGCCCCCTGCCCGGCAAGGCTCACCTGCCCCCCTTCTCCTGCCTCGTGGCCTCGAACACCTCGTCGTCCTCGTCCGCCTCCTCGCCCCGCAGCCGGTTTCTCGGGCACTCCCCCCCGTGCACGGGGAACGGCTCCTCCGGCTCGCTGGGCCTGCGCCCCAGGGCGCCCGTCACACTGGGGTTGCTCTCGCTGTCCTTCTGGCTCTCGATGGCCGAGTCCCCTTCGTCCTTCTCAGCCAGGATGTCGTCGATGTTGGTCTCGCGGTAGCATCGCAGCGGCACGGAGTCCAGGTCCGTCTCCGAGTACTTCACCGTCCTCCTGATGATGCCCGTCTCACAGGCCCCTGGCTTGCCGCTGCCGGCAGGAGCCACCTCGATTTCCACCTCGACGTGACACAGGCTGCGCTCGCCCACTGGCTTCTCCGCTTCCGCCGGCCGGCAGCCGAGCTTCTGCGAGGCCTTTGCCGGAGACCGAGACTCGGGGGGAGCCTGCGGGGCGGTGCCTGGAACAGAGAGCCCAGAGCGTCTACGTGCAAGGGGCCGTAACCTCGTTCTAACAGGCGACCCGCCTGCGCGTCCACCCGAGACACGCGGAGGGAGCCGGTCTGCGGCTGCCCTGCACCAACGTCTCCGGCCGTGGAGCTGCTCCAGAATGGGGCCCAGAGGAGAGACGACTCCGGAGGGGCAGAGGGGAGGGGAGTCTGGGGCAGGGCCCATAGGACACTCACCTCTGCCAATGCGCCCGAGGTGGCAGGATGTAGCCAGAGCTGCCCGGGGGCCACGCCTCCCTGGCCTGCCTAGCTCTCCCCTGAGCCAAACGGGGGCTTATTTGCAGCCCCCCGACTTCCAAGCCCTCCTCCCACAGGAAGCCAGGAGAGGAGCCCACCACGCAGAGCCCGCCCGGGTGGATTCGCTGCCGACCCGGGAGCCAGTGGAGGCTCCACTGAGGAGCCCAGGGGTTGGGACAGAGACTCCCACGGCGACAGAGCCTCACGGCGGTGGGGGCCTGGCCCTTTCAAGCCTGGATTTGGTTAGATGGGCCCCAGTGGCAGAATTTGCATCCAGCCTTGCAGAGCCCCCGGCCCAGGGCTTGGCTCTGGGGCGGGTTCGGCTGGCGTAGCCCAAAGCAAAGGCCAGCCTGAGCCCTGGGATCTGGGTTTCCCAAGCAGGAGCTGGTCGCGGGGGCAGGTGAGTTCGTCCCGCGCGGGACCGAGAGGGACCCGTTACCTGTCCCCGGAGGGTCCAAGGAGCCGTAGAAGAATTCCCACTTGGCCTTGGCGATGCGCTGGGCATGGGCGGAGCTCTCCCGGGCGTACACCCAAGCGCCCCCCTGCAGGAACGAAAGAGCATGTTGGCTGGGAGCTTCCTGGGGGCGCAGTAAGGGGGGGAGAAGGGAAGTGGCCTCTGGAGGTGGGAGGGGGGCTCCCCCCCACACCCGCTGGGCAGTACCTGGCCGTGGGGCTCCGTGCCCAAGGGGGAACCCAGGAGCGCCGGGATGTGCTCCGCGGGTGTGCCCAGCCCGTTGGAGAGAGAGCTGAAGAGGCAGCTGGCGTTCAGGGCGTGGGGGCCCCCTGCTGCCCTT